ATGCTCTGCTTCAGTATGCCACAGTACATGTTGGCATTCATGGTTCCCTCAATGAACTGTAGCTCCCCAGTGCCGGCAGCAGTCATGCAGCCCCAGACCATGACACTCCCACCACCATGCTTGACTGTAGGCAAGACACACTTGTCTTTGTACTCCTCACCTGGTTGCTGCCACAGACACTTGACACCATCTGAACCAAATAAGTTTATCTTGGTCTCATCAGACCCCAGGACATGATTCCAGTAATCCATGTCCTAAGTCTGCTTGTCTTCGGCAAACTGTTTGCGAGCTTTCTTGTGCATCATCTTTAGAAGAGGCTTCCTTCTGGGATGACAGCCATGCAGACCAATTTGATGCCGTGTGCGGCGTATGGTCTGAGCACTGAAATGAACACAAACTGTTCTCTATAATGCGTTAGTTAGGGTGACCATACGTCTTCTTTTTCCTCAGACATGTCATCTTTATCGGATCTTAAAAAAGCGTCCGGTCAGGATTTCCAAATTTGAGAAAATTTCCAGGATTCGGTTTTAGTTTCATTATGATGTGTTTATGGTCTAATACTGCCTCATGTTTGCACGTGTTTGCATTGCTTTAACCCCTCTCTGTAAATCCTGCCTTCTCGCACAACGCTTGGAGGATTATAAAAAGCTTGCAGGAACTATTGGCCAAATTCCTCCTTCTCAACCATTAGCCTACTCTCAGTGATACGCAAAGGTGAAGCATTGTTGTGTACCGCATCAAAAAGTTGCTTTTGTTTTAACCCTAACCCTAACCCTTGCATATTGTGACACTTTGATAACGTTACTGATGACATTGTTTATTCTGTAACTGTAACGGAATACATTTTTAAAGTAACCCTCCCCACCCTAGTCATTCATCATGTTTAGGAAGCTGATTATTAATTATAGATCAAATGTCATTTTATCTGTAGACCTATTGGATTGGGTATTAGATCAGTTAGATGTCAGAGTAGCATGCTTAAACACACCTCTTAATAAAACTCCGCCCTTTTACATATCTGCATCACTTTACCACCTAGGTCGATGGTCATGAAGATGCCAAAAATATATATTACATCACTCTTATGCATTGTTTTGCATGCAGGCTTGAATGTAGAGCATTTGAATGCCCTTAACTACCCTCTGCTTGTCTACATGTCTGAATCACATATGTCCAACCCTACACATACACATATGGCTGATCTCCCATGGAAGAATGGAATATATACGCACATAATGTCCTCAACTCTGTGTCATGGTGGCCTGTGACAGCACTGTGTGTGTTTGTCTGGGGGGGACTTTGCGGTAAACTTAGTCAATCCTGCTTGATGTGACACTTCTGCCTCCCACATTTTTTTTCACACACATGCATTATTCATTTCTTTTCCTATGATGAGGAAGAAGGCGAGTGAGGTGTGTGTAATTCACCCTGTTATGGGTGAAAATGTATTCTTCTTATCAGTGCCTTTCAATTAAATGTTCAAATTATAGCACAATAATGTGAATAAACTGCATTTCAAACAAAAGCCAAGACATAGAAAAGATAAAATAACAAAAGAAAGGCAGCAGGATGTTTTAATATACTGCACAAACATGATGTTTTCCAGCTGCTGCAACAAGACTCTCAGAACGTTTGATTGTGCTCTGAAAACAATGTTTTAAACAACAGTGACAGGTAAGGCAGTAAAATCTTCTAAATGAAAGGAAATACTGGTAGCTCTGGATCATGAAGGCAGACAGATGGACACATGCAGGTTTTTGGTTTTATTTAGAAATGATCAGAAATCAGTATTTGTATAAACTAGAACTCAGCTGCTTTATTTGATCCTGACTTGACAGGCCAAATCAAAGCAACTGCCCTACTTGCCTCTACACTTGTAACCCAAGTCAGTAACCCGATGGTCAAGTAATTTCTGATTCATTCAGAGGATTCTGTTCGTTAAATGTTCATACTGTAGGTTATGTAAACATTTTATTACTCATTAAGTATGATGCAGGAAAATGTAGTGAAGACACTAGCGATTCTGACTCCAAAATGGTGACTCCTACTTTTTAAGGCAATGGTGCAATATTTTTTCTCCCATCCATCCATCCATCCATTTTCTATACCGCTTTATCCTTTTCAGAGTCACGGGGAACCTGGAGCGTATCCCAGGGAGCATCGGGCACAAGGCGGGGTACACCCTGGACAGGGTGCCAATCTATCACAGGGCACAATCACATACACACTCACACAGCCATTCATACACTACGGACACTTTAGACACGCCAATCAGCCTACCATGCATGTGTTTGGACTGGTGGAGGAAACCGGGGTTGTGGCGCAGGTGGTAGAGTGGGTTGTCCACTAATCGTAGGGTTTGATGACTCCAGAGGCCGAAGTGTCCTTGGGCGAGACACTGAACCCCAAGTTGCTCCCGATGGCAAGTTAGCACCTTGCATGGCAGCTCTGCTACCATTGGTGTTTGAGTGTGTGTGTGAATGGGTGAATGAGACACAGTGTAAAAGCGCTTTGGATAAAAGCGCTATATAAGTGCACATTTACCCAGAGGAAACCCCCGCAGCACAGGGAGAACATGCAAACTCCACACACAAAGGGCCATGGCGGGCAATATTTTTTCTGTGTTTTAATAAATAACAGAATTGTTAGAAACCATAAAGGTGAGTCTGTTTAAATGAACAAGATAAAGCAGTTTGAGTGTCATAAAACTGTGGAAACTTCAGGCACCATCTTGTCATAAGGGGGGGGGATTCCATTTTTGACCAGACTATCACTTTATGGAAGGCAGTCCACATTTGTGTGATCCATTGTTTATTCAGTGTGATTGAGCTGGTAAGGAAGAGCTCTCATTGCTCCTCTTGTGTACCTCATGTTTAGGGCAGTTGTTCTGAGCCAATCAACCTGAGAGTTCACGCCTCAAATTTCATAATCCCACTTTTTGCATGTGCAGACACGTCCACTGCCCACGAGAACACCCATCTCAAAGAAATTAATCCATTGATCCTTTTCCTCCATGTCAGTCATGGCACAATTTAGAATAAGATTTATGGGATCAGTGCTATGTTTGATGCTCGAAATCAATAACTGAAAAGTGAAAATGACTTCTTTTTTTTTGTTTTTCTCAAATAAGCCAAAGCAAGTGCCTTTGATCAAGGGTACATGATGATGGGGATTAAAGATTAAAGGAAATATTTATCAAATAAAAATGGCAAAATATTTGTAAGGAGGTGTGATCTTGAAATAGACAAAGGAAAAGCAATGTAGACAAGATGTGCAAAAAATTTGGTGACGATTTTGTTGGTTGAACTCAAATTATTACTAGTTCACTTCTTACGAGTGAGATGTCACATCTGAATTTGAGATCTTTGGCATCATCATCATGAGGAAAGTAAACACATATATACAGTACATTGTCATTGATATGCATGGAAAGATGCACCTACTTAAACAAGACACTTCCATTTAAACCTGGAAAAATGAGATGATAGAGAAAGAAAAGAAAAAGGACTAATGCGATTGTGCATAAATGAGGAGATAGCAAGCATTTAAATGAAGATCTAACAGGAGTCTAGTATATTGACAATGTACTGTATTGTTGCATGAATAATCCTAGTTGTAATGATCGTTAATCATTACAATTTTGGTTTAATTTAACAATGTGGCTTCATTCAGCAGCTTATAAAATAGCATCCTATTATTTTGCATTTTATTTATCATGTGGGAGCACGGTGGCTTAGTGGTTAGCACGTTTTCCTCACACCTCACACCTCCAGGGTCCGGGGTTCGATTTCCACCGACGCCACGTGTGTGTGGAGTTTGCATGTTCTCCCCGTGCTGCGGGGGTTTCCTCCGGGTACTCTGGTTTCCTCCCCCAGTCCAAAGACATGCATGGTAGGCTGATTGGCGTGTCTAAAGTGTCCGTAGTGTATGAATGGGTGTGTGAGTGTGTATGTGATTGTGCCCTGTGATAGACTGGCACGCTGTCCAGGGTGTACCCCGCCTCGTGCGCCATGATACCTGGCTAGGCTCCAGGTTCCCCCGCGACCCTGAAAAGGATAAGCGGTATAGAAGATGGATGGATTTATCATGTGAAACAACTGCTATCGTCCGTACGACGTAATGAAGCCGTGGACACTAAATCAATGTTATGAAATCATACTGGATATGGGATGTAGGATGTATTATCACACTTTTAAATTGATACTGTTCCGCTATGTGTACATCTTAAAATAATGTTGTTTATAATTATGTCCACGATAGAATTTAAATGGATAATTCTGCTTATTCTTAAACTATGTAGTAGTAGTAGTGGTAGTAGTGCAGTCTATCTATCTATGTATACACAGCTATTTGTTTATATTCTTTATATTCATTACATCTTTATCGTAGCGATTTCACTCTTATTTCTTTTATTTCTGTGCTGTTGTGTTATTTGAAATTGTTTTTACGCTGTAACGCATTTCCCATCTGGAATCGCTGACATGATAACATGATATCTCATTTTTGTCACATCACTTCCCTTCTTTTAAAAGAATACTCTAGCATTTTTCAAACTGCAATAAGCTCTAGCTACGATATCTGTTGTATGTGTTTGATTATCACTGACAAGGATATTTTCCTGTGTTAAGAAAAGAGGATAAAGTCGGTTTAAATGAAACACATGTAAAAAAAAAAAAAAAGAAAGAAAGGAAATCTTTGAGTAGTAGTTGTGGCAGTCAATAACCATTAATGCCAAATTTATTTATTTTTTTCAGTATTTCTGTGGAATATTTTCTGTAGAAATTTTTTTGTGTTATTATTTTAGACACATTATATTTGTGTATAATGATCATGATCATGAATCATCAAATTGAATGAATTCTTCAGTAAATGTAAATGGTAAAGAAAGCTGTAAATTTGTATAATTTGTCCTTTTGGAACTAGTATTGTTTGTGGAAAGAATTTGAGGTTATATATTTTATTTTTGGTCAAATGTTAAATAGTGTCATCATTATGCAGATTCCCTGGTGGACTAGTGGCTAGTATGCAGCGCTCTTACCACGACAGCCTGGGTTTGATTCCTGGTCAGGGAACCAACCCCAGCCACTGGAGGATTGCACAAGCCAGTGCACTCTCAGTGCTAGTTCCAAGTCCTGGAAAATGGGGAGGGTTGCATCAGGAAGGGCATCCAGCATAATCAAAATATGCACACGGGTGATCTGCTGTGGAAATCCCAAACAGGAGCTGAAAGAAGGGGGGAAAATCACATATTTATACACGCTGGCCATACAGTCGACAAAACTGACAATAATCTCCAGTGGTAGGACCATATCATTGTTTTGCAAGTCACAAATAAACCTTTAACTTTTGCCACTCAAGTCCCAAGTTAAAAGTAACTTATCTAAGGGATAATCCATGGCTAGGTGTGCATTGCATGAATTTAATGCATGATATGGAGGCAATTAAAATCCGTGAACTGCATTAAAATTCAGTAACGCACACCTAGCCGTAGATTATCCCACTCATACCATGGTCACTTGCCAGCACTGACAAGGTAAAGCTGTTGTTGATGTTTGGGGTGCAAAATTTGACTGAAAGAATAAAAATGATGGTTAGTATTCGTAGTTATTTTATATACGGGTCGTTAGAGCTAGAATTCTGCCTGCTGTAAATCATACACAGACATAAAGTAATGCGATAAGATTACAATTATTTGAATGAGTTAATAATTAATTGTTATGAGAGAGAGAAAGAGAGAGAGAAAGAGAGAGAGAGAGAGAGAGAGAGATTGTGTGTGTGAATTACCTGCGTCTGTGCCGCACGTCTCTACTAATAATGAAGCTGTAAGTTTAACTATTGTTTAGAGTTGTAACTGTATGTTACTAAGGTTACACCTGTTAATTCAGAACGGTGATGAAACTGAATGAAACTATCTGTGCATTATACGGTTTGAACGTACACCTTCCAGCCAATCAGAATTGAATATTTAGACAGACGTTTGAATAAACGTCCTTAACTTTTAATTGAAGTTTCAAGTCCTAAACAAGGCATAATGTGCTCTTTGAAAATTTAAATCCAAGGAAATAATAATTATAGCAATTTTACACAAACCATGCAGGCTAGACACGCTTTATAGCTCAATGATAACATATGGGTATTTTTAAAAACGCATAACTATGACTATAAATGCTGAATATTTCAGTTCAGTTTCACATGAGTGGAGATGTAGACTCTTTTCACTAAGGGTACCCATCTATTTCAGTTCAATTTGGCTTTGCTTTGGGATTTGCTTTTACATCTGATATTATTGAACCACAATTCTACCTGTTGCAACCCCTTTTACATTAATCTTTGCATTAATGTTTATATTAAACATTAATCTTTGAATTGGAATCTTTGAAAGCTACTATGGGCGGCTGTGGATCAGGAGGTAGAGCGGGTTGTCTACTAGTCGTAGGGTTGGTGGTTCGATTCCTGGCCCACGTGACTCCACATGCTGAAGTGTCCTTGGGAAAGACACTGAACCAAGTTGCTCCTCATGGCAAGTTAGCACCTTGCATGGCAACTCTGCTACCACTGGTGTCTGTGTGTGTGTGTGTGTGTGTGTGTGTGTGTGTGTGTGTGTGTGTGTGTGTGAATGGGTCAGTGAGACACAGTGTAAAGCGGTTTGGATTAAAGCGTTATATAAGTGCACTATTTACCATTTACTATCTTCTGGAGCATGGATACCGAAAAAGGTCCTCTGTCATCAGGAATGTGTGGTCTTTCATATTTGCCATGCAAGCTGATTGGCTGGTCGAATGGTGAACTTGGAAAGCAAGATTGATACTGATTAGCTGAAAATGAATAGTTTGTTGGGAAAATGAATAGTTGATTCACTGCACACTTTTAAATGGATCATTTTAATCTTCGGTTTTCAAAACGTATCAAGTCTTTCCATGTCCAAGTCCAAGTGAAGCCCCGGGTCATTAATGTCAAAGTCCAAATCGAGATGCAAGACTTCTTAGATTATGTCACGTCAAGTTGAAAGTCAGTAAATTTGTGACTCGAGTCCAAGTCATGTGACTCAAGTCCACAGCACTAATAATCACTACCACTTGCCCTGTAATAGACTGGCATTCTGTCCAGGGTGTATTCTTACTTCATTCTTACACCCAGCATTGGGATAGGTTCCAGCTCCACCACAACAAATGGAAGTAATCTGTAAACAGCATCATGAACACTTTATACAATTATATTCACATCTCAAACTTATGTAAAACATTTCTATTGGGAATTGGCGAGAATAACAGTAGCGCTTAATCCATGTTTTTACCTTGTTCTTTTCTTATAATGACATGGATTTGAGGTTGGACTAAGCTTGCAGTGTCTTTTAAAGGTCTGTAAAACAAACACATTTCTTTATTAATTAAGGAACAACAAAAAAGCACACACAAATGAGATAGGATATCATGTCAATGATTCCAGATGGGAAATGTTTTACAGCATAAAAAAACAATTATAAATAATAAAAGAGCACAGGAATAAAAGAAATAAGAGTGAAATTGGTAGGATAAAGATATAATATATAAAGACTATAAACAAATAGCTGTGTATAGATAGATAGATAGATAGATAGATAGATAGATAGATAGATAGATAGATAGATAGATAGATAGATAGATGGATAGATAGATAGATAGATAGATAGATAGATAGATAGATAGATAGATAGATAGAGAGATAGATAGATAGATAGATAGATAGATAGATAGATAGATAGATAGATAGATAGATAGATAGATAGATAGATAGATAGATAGATAGATAGATACATAGATAGACTGCACTACTACTGCATACACTAATAATATTATCCCATTGCTGTCAAATATACTGAATGAGTCAGGATGATGTTTACTGGAGTATACAGTACCTTCATTGTATCTGTATAATCCTGACTCATTCAATATATTTGACAGCAACAGGATAATATAATTCATGTAATCTTTTCAAACAATATATGCTGAAACTATCAATAACAGAGAACACAAACCATTACACAACATCTGTCATATATTTTGCAACCGTTACATAATATTGTTCTTGAAATCAAGGCAGCCAAGAGAGGAAAAATATAGTATATCCATCCATCCATCCATCTTCTACCGCTTATTCCTTCTTCAGGGTTGTGGGGAACCTGGAGCCTATCCCAGGGGGCATTGGGCACAAGTCGGGGTACACCCTGGACAGGGTGCCAGTCCATCGCAGTTTACAATCACATACACACTCACACACCCATTCATACACTACGGACAATTTAGACACGCCAATCAACCTACCATGCATGTCTTTGGACTGGGGGAGGAAACCAGAGTACCCGGAGGAAACCCCCGCAGCACGGGGAGAACATGCAAACTCCACACACACACATGGCCCCGTGGAGGTGTGAGGCGAATGTGCTAACCACTAAGCCACCGTGTGCCAAAATATAGTATATCTAAAATAATTTTTATTGCAGTTTGAAAAAATCTAGAGTATTCCTTTAAGAGAAGGGAAGTGATGTGACTTGTACCTTTTAGGTTGTGTATGGATCAGGACAGGAAGCACTAAAAACAGTTAATATGCAGTGTCACTCCCAATGTAGAATGTTTATGAAAATTAAAAGCTCTGATAAAAATTTTATACGCTATCTGAGTTCAGCGCGCTCTCCGAAGGACTGTTCACATATTCAACACTCAAATCCCCTACTCAAATATTAATACAGAAATATTCACATATAAATCTTTCATTATCTCCATCTTGGTTGTGTTTGCATGCATTAAGAGCTTGGACGGTCACCCATAATGAAATTAGATTTAATCAATTAATAATAATAATAATAATAATAATAATAATAATAATAATAATAATAATAATAATAATAATAATAATAAATTTATATAGCATATTTCTCACAACCAAGGTCACTTACAATTACAAGAAACATACAAAAAACTCAAAATAATGACAAACAAAGAAAAAAAGATCAAACACAAAGACAGTCTCCTTCGAAAGCAGCTGTGAGTTAATATTGGTGCTGTAGCTGCTCATAGTTCCACATTTGGCCAACACTGCTATGGCACATGGCCACAGTGCCACCGGGCACCACCATTCTGAACATGCTGTGAATCTACAGAGCTGAAGAAGCATCACACAAAGCAATCATACTGCCAAACAGAGGGCCAAGCAACCCTGAGACTGCTCAGAATGATGGTACCAAACACATTGCTTTCAACAAAAGCAACAGGCATGCCAAAAGTGATCAGAAGCTTCACCCAGTCCATAGCAAGTGGGTGGACATTCATCACGCACAGAGAAATCCGCTGCTCAAATCTTGAGTCTGGAGCTCCACCACCACCAGCACCTAACAGACAAAATCGATTAATGACCAAGTACATTAAAACAATACAATAGAAGACATACAAACAGTGAAAAAATGGAAAAAGAAAGAAGGAGTAAAAAAAAAGAACAGACAAAAAAGCAGAGATGGCAGCTAAAATGTGCACAGCGTACTCATAACCAGAAAAAAACATTTATCCTTAATGAGAAAGTCAGAGGCGACTGTGGCAAAGAAAAACTCCCTGAGAAGATATGGGAACCCGTCCTCATATGGGTGACACCTGATAGTGCAATTATAAATAATTCCCTTCTACAGCCGTGTAGAAAAAGTGCCATTGTGTAACCAGGAAATTCATTATAGTTTTCACATTAAGGCTATTTTGTCGAAGATATCAACTGTTCATTGATGGAGACTTGAGTGCAAATCTATTCATGGCAATTGCAGTCCTAAAGCTATTATAGCAACATGAAACAAGTACCAACCATTCTGCAAATCAGAGAACCCTTACTGGACACAGTAGGTGCAATTTCTCTTGTTCCGGTGTGAGGAACGGAGGAGGGCAGAAAGTATGCAATACTACTGGCTTGGCAGCAGACATAGGCACTTTGCGAATATAATCCAGCCTAGGATATTGGAAGGCCTTGGCTAATCAAGGGGCAAAGTCAAGGCAGGAAGGGGCAACAGAAAGAGCTTGTTGATCTACCCACTTGAGAGATGCTAAGGCCAGCAGAA